AGGGGGGGGGGGGGGGGGGGGAAGAAGGAGAGGAAAAAAAAAATGGATAATCAAAATTTCCTTGTTTTGCTACAAAAAACATTTGTAAAACCAATATTTTTTTTAACTCATTTTTTTTTTCTGTTCTTTTTATCGACAGACCAAAATTTGCAGTGACAGTAACAGCAATGATAGAACTTACAATTATATATTAATAATAGTATATAATAATAATAATAATAATAATAATAATAATAATAATGACAACAATAAATAAATTACAAAATTTCTATCACACAATAATACCTTCTTAACATTTACTTGTCGATTTTTTGATGGTTTAAACGAAAAAAAAAAATTTTTTTGTCAAACCCAATACTCAATTTTGATGATTAAATCTTTGTAGAAATAAAGGAAAAATTTCTCTCTTTCCATTGTTTCATTTTTTTTTTTTTGTTTCAGTTCCTTCTTTCTCCTCTAAATACTATACATTCCCAAATTTAGTCTACCGCTTTCAATATTCATCATCCTCAACTATTGCCAAAAAAATTTTTCAATTCATCTAAGCCTTAAATTTAGGACATTTTTTTTTTGTCTCCGGATATTCGTCATCCATTCGTTTGTTGAACTTTTTCAAGGCTGCTGAAAATTTTGACCGTGCATTCATTTGTTGGCCCCGAACTCGTTGAACATCTTTGGCAGTTTTGATGCCCCGATGTACCATAAACAGATCATTGACAACAGCAAATGTATACCCCATACGGCACATTTCCCACCTCTGCAAATGATAATTATAATGAAAAAAAAAAAAGTTGATTTTTTTCCTTTTTTTTTGGCTCAATTTTGTTGTACTTCAATGATATATATTATGTATTTTTATGATAAATACTTTGTTGGTTGTTATTTCATTAGTTGTTTGTTCTCATTGTTAAATCTGTAATAAAAAAATTCACTTTTTTTTTTATGTTTTTGTTGTCAACTTAAATTCTTTCTTTCTGTTTTTTGTTTTTTTTTCCCTTTATTTGCATCATAAAGAAGTCAACAAGAGGAAAACAACGGGGAAATTTTGTTCTAATCTAAAATACCAATGATCGGTATCTGTATACAATAAATATGGTGTTGCCTAACCATTAGCATTTGTGATAAAAAGGAGACAAAAAAAGTAGATGATCTATTGAAAAAATTGCTAAAATATTTTACACTGTTAATACCTTTATTTAGATGACGTCAAGAAACAAAAAAAAATGAAGGTAAAAATGAACAAAAACAATAAAGTTGATAAAAAAAAGAAAAGTTTCTTTTCTGTAGAAATTTGAAATTATTTTGATAACAGCAATAATGCAACAAAAAACAACAATCTGCAAAATGAAACATCGATAAAGTTTTTCAATTTTCTTTACAGACTTTTTGTTCCAAGAATACAAAAACGAAAGATTTTTGGAAATCATACCAACACTGTATTATCGCGTACAGAAAATGGAAAATTTTCATCATGTAACGGTGCGGTATTCAATGAAACAAACTGTGGTTCCCAATCATGACGATTAAGCCTAAAAAAAGAACAAAAAGAAACGAAGAAGTTGCAGTTGTATTTCTTACTTTTTTTTTTTGCTACAACTTTTTACTTTTTGTTTTTAGTTCAACAATAAAACAGTT